GAAAGGTTTCTACAAGCATCAAATTTCTTGAGCCAGGCACGTGTTATTTTTATAGCCTTTTCATAGAATCATAGAATACTATGACTGGAAGGGACCTCGAGAGGTCATCGAGTCCAGTCCCCTGCCCTCACGGCAGGACCAAATACTGTCTAGATCATTCCTGATAGACATTTATCTACCCTACTTTTAAATATCTCCACAGATGGAGATTCCACAACCTCCCTGGGCAATTTATTCCAGTGTTTGACTACGCTGATAGTTAGGAACTTTTTCCTAATGTCCAACCTAAACCTCCCTTGCTGCAGTTTAAGCCCATTGCTTCTCGTTCTATCCTCAGAGGCCAAGATGAACAAGTTTTCTCCCTCCTCCTTAGGACACCCTTTTAGATACCTGAAACCTGCTATCACGTCCCCCCTCAATCTATCCCCTTTCCACTAGCATTCACTACGTAAGGCATTCCTTCAGACTTCTTGGTGAAGACCGAAACAAAGAAGTCATTAAGCATCTCTGCCATTTCCAAGTTTCCTTTTACTGTATCTCCCTCCTCACTGACCACTGGGCCTACCCTGTCCTTAGTCTTCCTCTCGCTTCTAATGTATTCTAAAAAGTCTTCTTGTTTCCCTTTATTCCCGTAGCTAGTTTGAGCTCATTTTGTGCTTTTGCCTTTCTAATCTTGCCCCTGCATTCCTGTGTCATTGCCTATATTCATCCTTTGTAATTTATCCTACTTTCCATTTTTTATGAGACTCCTTTTTTATTTTTAATCATGCAAGATCCCATGGTTAAGACAAGGCATTTTTTTGCCATATTTTCTATCTTTCTGACGCAGCGGAATAGCTTGCTTTGGGCCCTTAATAACGTCCTTTGGAAAAACTGCCAACTCTCCTCAGTCTTGATTCCCATGCAACCTTACCTATCAGGTTTCTGAGCTTACCAAAATCCGCCTTCCTGAAATCCATTGTCTCCATTTTGCTGTTCTCCCATCTACCCTTCCTTAGAATTGTGAACTCTATGGCTACGTCTAGACTGGCATGATTTCGTGGAAATACTTTTAACGGAAAAGATTTTCCGTTAAAAGTATTTCCGCAAAAGAGCATCTAGATTGGCACTGATGCTTGTGCGCAAAAAGTGCTTTTGTGCAAAAGCATCTGTGCCCAGTATAGATGTGCTTTTGCTCAAGAAAGCTCCGATGGCCATTTTAACCATCGGGCTTTCTTGCGCAAAAAATTAAGGTGCCTGTCTACACTGGCCCTCTTGTGCAAATATTCTTGCGCAAGAGGGCTTATCCCTGAGCGGGAGCGTCAACGTATTTGCGCAAGAAGCATTGAATTCTTACATTAGAGCGTCAGTGCTCTTGTGCAAATTCAAGCGGCCAGTGTAGACAGCTGGCAAGTTTTTGCGCAAAAGCAGCCACTTTTGCGCAAAATCTTGCCAGTCTAGACGCACCCTATGAGTTCATGATCACTTTCACTCAAGCTGCCTTCCACTTTCAAATTTTCAACCGTTTCCTCCCTATTTGTTAGGATTAAATTTATAACAGCTTCCCCCTTGAAGCTTCAGAATTGTCATTCATGCTTAAATTTGACACTTTATGTATGGGTTTAAAAAAAGACTCTAATTATCTCACCCATTACAAAGATAGCTTCCTCAATTATCACCCCTAATGTCATTACCTCACAGAAACTTCCCTTATTATCACCCCTATGTCATTACCTCACAGACACTAACCTTCCTCCCTCACCCCCACTCTGTTCTAAAATTAGATTTGTCAATTTCACATGCATTCATTTGTTTGATTGGATCACTTTGGTATATATGGTCGTGTCAATTTTCTTCCACATATTGATCTGAGGAAGTGGGTCTGGCCCACGAAAGCTCAACACCTAATAAACCATCTTGTTAGTCTTTAAAGTGCTACATAGTCCTGTCTTTTGTTTCAGCTAGACCAGACTAACACGACTGCATCTCTATCAGTATGGAGAAGAGCGTTTTGCTTCCGTGATGGGGAAAGGGGAGGGGAGAGGCAGGAGGATCAGGTTACAACACAGAGGAGACCAGAAGAGGAAAGGGGAGGGGAGGGGAGAGGGAGGGAGATTGTGTCCTGGCCAACTGTTAAGCCCTGCAGCTATACCAGACCTCCCGATTCTCCGGCAAATCTGATAATCCGGCAGCACCTAGGTCCAAAAGGTGCCGGATTATCAGAAGTCTACTATAATTGTTTACCTCCAGTTTTCCCAGGTAAATCGACTGGTGTTTCGGACAACACTAAACAGCTCAAGTCTTTGAACTAGTGAACTCCTCTCCTGATTGTTCTTGCCTTGAAAACTGTCAATCTTAGAATCATAGAATCCGAGGGCTGGATGGGTTTGTCTACATGTCACCATTATTTCGAGATAACTAGTGTTATTTTGAAATAACAATGAGAGCACTGACACAGCTATTCCATTTGTTCCAAAATTATTACAAAATGATGGACATCTTATTCCGAAATCTGTAAACCTCATGCTCAAGGTATAATGCCTATTCTGAAATAGCTATTACGAATCAAGGCATGTGTTGATGCTCCACTGCTGCTATTTCAAAATAGCCCCTCACCAGGGCCATTCTAAGTTAATCATCCCCACTATCTCCTGAGGCTCTAAATTGAGATAGCACGTCTACATTAGGGAAGACTTCCTCGAACTAATTTTGAGGCTTCCCTTCAGTGTAGATGTGCTATTTCAGAATAAGTATTCAGAATAAATGTGCAGTGTAGATGTATCCAAAGAGACCTCAAGAGTCATTGAGTCCAGCCCCCTGACCAAAGAAGGACCAGCCCCAACTAAATCATCCCATCCAGGGCTTTGTGAAGCCAGGACTTAAAAACCTCTAGGAACAGTGATTCCACCAAATCCAAGGTAACCCATTCCAGTGATTCACCAACCTCCCAGGGAAATAGCTTTTCCTAATATATGAACAAGACCTCCCCCACTGTAGTTTAAGACCATTGCTCTTAGTTTTGCCACCCATCACTACTGAGAAGAGCCTCTCTCCATCCTCTTTGGAACCTCCCTTCAGGAAGATGAAAGCTAAGCTCTAACATTATTGTAGAAACAGGCAACTCACTGAAATCCTGCTCAGCAGAGGGAGGAAATCTTCCAGTGACAGGGACGCCAAGCCCTGTGCACCAGCATAGGAGTCTCACACGTCTGACTCTTCGTGCACTGCAGAGCAACCTTTATGATTCAGTGCAGCCCCTGAGGAAACTCATGTTGTCCTGGATACCCAGAGAATTCCCCGAGCAGGAGACGAGCAGAAAGCATAATGTGGCACATTCAGCCTGCGAGCCTCTTCTGGGAGGGATGAAACTATTTGCCAAACTCAGGTGCTCAGACTGTCAGGGGAAACGCCTTTGCCTTGCAAACTGAATAGAGGGATCTGGAGCTACTGAAACCCCAGAGCAGAGGAAGAGGCAAGGCTGAGATGTGCTCCCGGGCGTATCAGCATTACGGGGCTGCTGCCCATCCCCCTCGAGAGGGAGTGTCCCCTCCTCCTCTCCTGGCTGAGAAGCCCGGCGCTGAATCCCTGGGACTGTGACCTGCAATGGAGCTGCTCTTGTACGTCCTTTGTCCAAGCACTGAGTGACAGCCACCCCTCTCGTACGGCCTCTGTGTGACCGAGGGCAGCACAATGTGCCCCTGCTTTGTCCTAGCTCCCCTAGTGCAATATTTTGCTGAGGTCAGGAGCAGCCTCCTGACCCTTCAATGATCAGCACGTGCCCCAAAGCCTGTGGACTGCACCAGCCATATTTAGGACAGGGAAGGTGCAGGGAGATGTTCAGAGGCTCAGACTTGATGGAGGAGCCCAATGCCCATCTGCATTCTGGTTCTCAAAGACACACGGGCAGTCGGCACCAATTGGGAGGGAGGGTGTTCTGAGACCGGGCTTGAAATATCAGGATTCTAAAACACCAGGGCCCTGGTTCTACTCTGTGGGAGGCCAGTGTCCATCTGGGGTGCAATACTTTGGCCTTTCAACATCCTCTGTCAAAGAGTTCCACAAGATGGATAAATTGTTCCTGCAGACAGGTCCGTCAATGGCGACTAGCCAGTAGGGGCCGGGAGGATGGCCTACGCTCTGTTCGCCAGAAACTTGAAATGGGCAACTGGGAATGTATTATCTGTTGTGTTCTTGCCCTCTGTAGCTCCTGGCATTGTCCAGACAGAAATCAAGACACAGAGCTACATGGACATTTGGGCTGCGTCTAGACTACATGGCTCTGTTGAAGGAGCCATGTAGATGAGTTTACTAGACATAGCAAAATGAAGCAGCGATTTTCATAATAACCGCTTCATTTATATCAAAACGGCCGCCGCGCTGTGCCTATCAGCTGATTGTCGGCACAGAGCGGTAGTCTAGACGGGGATCAGCCGACCCCAGAACCCTTTGTCGTCAGATCCTGTAAGCCTCATTTCACAAGATCACGCTGGGCCGATCCTTTAGAATCTAAACTCTAAGGCTGCAGCTAGACTGGCAAGTTTTTCCGCAAAAGCACCACCTTCTCTTCTTATCTCTGTTCCCTTTCCCCATGGCTGCGTTTAGACTGGCAAATTTTTCCGCAAAAGCAGTTGCTTTTGCAGAAAAACTTGCCAGCTGTCTACACTGTCCGCTTTGAATTTGCGCAAGAACACTGACGATCTAATGTAAGATTGTCAGTGTTCTTCCGCAAATACAATGACTCTCCCATTCGGGAAAAAGCCCTCTTGCGCAAATGCTTTTGCGCAAGAGAGCCAGTGTAGACAACTGAGAACCATTTTGCGCAAAAAAGCCCCAATGGCAAAAATGGTGATCAGGGCTTTCTTGAACAAAACCGCGTCTAGATTGGCACGGAAGTTTTTCCGCAAAAAGTGCTTTTGCGCAAAACCGTCCGTGCCAATCTAGACGCTCTTTTCCACAAATGCTTTTAACGGAAATACTTTTCTGTTAAAAGCATTTGCAGAAAATCATGCCTACGGCTGCGTCTAAACTGGCATGATTTTGCGGAAATACTTTTAACGGAAATGTTTTTCCATTAAAAGTATTTCCGCAAAAGAGCTTCTAGATTGGCAAGGATGCTTTTGCGCAAAACGTGCTTTTGCGCAAAAGCATCCATGCCCAGTATAGACGCGCTTTTGCGCAAGAAAGCTCCGATGGCCATTTTAGCCATCGGGCTTTATTGCGCAAAAAATTAAGGTGCCTGTCTACACTGGCCCTCTTGCACAAGAGGGCTTTTCCTTGAGTGGGAGCATCAAAGTATTTGCGCAAGAAGCACTGAATTCTTACATTAGAACGTCAGTGCTCTTGTGCAAATTCAAGCGGCCAATGTAGACAGCTGGCAAGTTTTTGCGCAAAAACAGCTGCTTTTGTGCAAAATCTTGCCAGTCTAGATGCACCCAAAAGGTATATTAATAAAAGAAAGAAAAAGTTGGGAGTAAGATTGGTAGTACATCGATTCTGATACATCAATCACCGAGTGCTGGATGCAGGTGGTTAGCAAAGATACTACAAACTGCTAGCTCAACAGTCTTTAGTGTCAGCCTCAGAGGGGCCTTTGATGTTTCTTGCATCTTCCAACTAGAACTAGTCACATGCAAGCAGTCCATTTCCACTGCTTCCTTCCAGACAGAAAACATTTTAAAAATACAAGAAGAGATTGCATTCCATAATTTCATCTACAAACGTCACACATGTACACAAGGATCATGCACAGAATCAGCAGAAAACAAACTTTCAGTAGACACCTTACATGGGCCCCTTTGCCCAAAACTTGGACCCAACTCCCACTAGTGAGCACAGCAAAGCCCTTGTTCAGAGCCAAAAATATTAAATTTATCCATGCCAGCTTTGACAATGGTCTGAAATCCAATTAACACTGATACAATGTAGGTATCCTTATTCCCCATAATGCAGGCATTTTGGCACTTAGCCATGAAAACAAAACAAAAATGTAGCTGTGCCTCAGTTTCCCTTTTCACACAGCACACCAATCCTGGGATGCCTCTTCTCAGGTGAGACGCTCCAAACTTAATTACAGGTATCAACAGTGAAATGTCAGTATCACAAGGCTTTTTTGACATATAGTGTGTCCGTGGGTACCTTTCTTAACAGTTTCCAGGGTTTTGGCACAAGATTGTGCACAGTGGACGTTGTTACAATTCTTAGTAACAACAATACATTGGTTATGAAAGTTAACATAAGCAGTAGGGACAAATCCATCCCAAATGTACATTGACAATTCTGGCCTTTTAGATTTAAAAAAATTGCAGCCTTCCTGGGCAAACACAAGTCTTGCCCCTCCCCCATTGCCCTGTGGGTTTAAATTGTGAACTCTCCATCTTAACAAAGACAAAGGGCTGGCTCGGTGTGTCTCCCCTGCTCACAATAGCTATGGAATTCCCTTGCTCCCCATAGCTAATCAGGAAGCAAGAAGTCCAGACAATAACCTGGCACCCTGCTTTCAATCTCGTTTTCCATCTAGTTTTCCCGGTGGGCCACTGCCTCAGGGCCTAGGAGAACTGGCCTGATAGACTTATAGGTTCCTTGTCCTTTCACAGAATCAGACTGGACACATTCATGTTTCAGCAACCCACACGTTCTAGCAAGCTGGTCAAACACAGTCACTTGGTCACCAGAAGGCTGTTTCATCTCCCTGACTGCTTCCACTCCACCTGATACAACCTCCAATCCCTCTGCAACTTCCTCACCCTTGTCCACATTGGATCTTTTTAAACCTAAGTCACCTTTATCCCCATTCCTCCCCGCAGGATCCCTGCCTCACCCTGTCAGCCATTTGCCGCCTCAGGCCCCAGGGACTCGATCCTGCCCTCCTATCTCCTCAGTTCTATCCTGTAGACCAGTGTCCTCCTTTGTCTTTATATTGTCATATTCCCTCCTGCTGCCACTCCAGCCTCCAGTTCTGCTTCTCCTGGCCCCTTCCATCTCCTCCCCTTCTAATTTCACCCTCCTCCCCCTGCCTCATCTTTCCCACAGAGCTCTCTGACCAGCTCCCCTCAACTTCCCTTCAGCCACATCCCCCAGCCCATTCCACACAGTCAACCTCCCTAGAAGGGAAAAAGGGAGCCACTCCCTCACTCTGCCCCTCACAAACCATTCACCCCTTCTTGACTCTCGCCCTAAGGAGATAAGGGCGCCCGCAACATGTCCTGCTACCCACAGGCCTTCGGGTTCTCCATATTACCCAGCTCTACATCCTCCAGTCTCACCAGGTCTAAGAGCCCAGTCTCCAACCAAAACCTGAGCATCTATACCACAATGAAATGGCTCCTTAGCCTGAGCCCCTCAAGCCAATGTCAGCTAACAGGGGCCTGCCACAGGTGTCTAATTGGGTCTTTCTGCACTGTGGGCCTTGGTAAGAGACAAGTAGACCCAGTACCTAAAACACACATTGTTTATTGAGTGATACTATGTTCCAGACAGGAGGAGAGGATGGATGTATGGCTCAGATCAGAAGAGACACCATCAAACGAAAACGAATCCAACATATCAGGAAATGGCAGATAAATAGCGACACATTTTAAAGTGCTTATACACAAACGCTAGAAGTCTATATAATAAAACGGGTGAACTAGAGTGCCTCATTTTAAAGGAGGGCATTGATATAATAGGCATCATGGAAATTTGGTGGAATGAGGATGATGAAAGGGATGCGGTCATACCAGGGTTCAAAATACTTCAGAAGGACAGACAAGGTTATGCTGCTGGGGGAGTGGCATTATACATGAAAGATAACGGATAATCAAATGAAGTAAAATCTTAAATCAGCTGAAATGTTCCATAGAATCTCAATGGATAGTAATTCCATGCTCCAATAATAAGAATATAGCAGCAAGGATATATTATCGACCACCTGATAAGGGCAATTATAGTGACTATGAAAAGCTGAGAGAGATTAGAGAGGCTATCAAAATAAAAAGTTCAAAAATACTAGGGTATTTCAACTATCCCCATACTGACTGGGTACACATCACCTCAGGATGGGATGCAGAGATAAAATTTCTTGATACCTTAAATGACTGCTTCTTGGAGCAGCTGGTTCTGGAACCCACAAGGGGAGAGGCAATTCTTGATTTAGTCCTAAGTGTAGCACAGGATCTGGTCCAAGAGGTAAATATAACTAGACCGCTTGGAAATCGTGGCCATAATGGAATCAAATTTAACATCCCTGTGGTGGGAAAAACACCTCAGCAGCCCAACACTGTGGCATTTAATTTCAGAAAGGGGAACTACACAAAAATGAGGAGGTTAATGAAATAGAAATTAAATGGTACGGTGAAAAAAGTTAAATCTCTGCAAGCTGCATGTAAACTTTCCAAAGACACCGCAATATTGCCAACTGAAATGTATACCCCAAAATTAAAAAACACAGTTACGTCTACACTGGCATGATTTTCCGGAAATGCTTAAAACGGAACAGTTTTCCGTTATAAGTATTTCCGGAAAAAGAGCGTCTACATTGGCAGGATGCATTTCCGGAAAAGCCCTTTTTCCAGAAAAGCATCCATGACCAATGTAGACACGCTTTTCCGGAAAAAAGCCCCGATCGTCATTTTCGTGATTGGGGTTTTTTTGTGGAAAAGACTACTGTGCTGTCTACACTGGCCCTTTTCCAGAACAGCTTTCCGGAAAAAGGACTTTTGCCCGAGCGGGAGCAGCATAGTTTTTCGGGAAAAGCAGCTGATTTCTTACAGTAGATCGTCAGTGCTTTTCCGGAAATTCAAAGGGCCAGTGTAGACAGCTCGCAACTTATTCCGGAAAAGCGACTGATTTTCCGGAATAAGTGGCCCAGGGTAGACACAGCCAGCCAGTAAGGGTATGTCTACATTAGCCTCCCAGTTCGGAC